CAATATTCAAAACTTAGTTGTTTTAGTTTTTTTGTTTTAATGAACTAACTATTCAATCTTCAATGTATCACAGTTCTTTTGTTTTATTCATATTGTTTTGTTTTTTTTCTTGTAACTTGTTTCCTATCGGTTTCTATTTCACAATGGATCAAAGTTTGTTCGTGGTCTTTTACAATTTTATTTACAAAATACACTACAAATACTTTCACAATCGAAGGACAATACAATAGCTACTGATACTACTACTACTACTACTACTACTACTAATGATACTACTAATTCAACGTCATTGTCAACATCATCACTGGGAGCAACGCCTATCACTACAACAAGTACAACCACTGTTGACAATCTTCTCAATAGTAATAATAATAACAATACTACTGCATCCAGCGCCATCGTTGTAGATAACACGATAACTACTGATGCGGTAAAAGCAACTACCGATCCAATTGAAATGGATACTAGCAATGATCTTTCACTAACAGTATCATACGATACAGAACAACTAGCTAAAGATCCTCCTACTATAATTCAAAGTGATAGTAATGAACAGCTGTGTAATAATTCTTTACAGCAACAATTGAATGTAACATTTGTAAATAAATACAATAACGTGTCGGATGATGATCATGACGATGTTGATAATAATAATAATAATAATAGTGATAGCAGTAAGTGAATAGAGAGAAGTATTTTTTTCTCTGTTTATTTTTAATTCTAGTCTAATTATGTAACAAGATTATGCCTGTTCTCACCCTAATCGGGTATAGGCCGCCAACTAGTCAATTATTTTTCTGTTTAGCGTTTCTTTTTTTAGCGAGTTAGATTTCTACAGGATGGAGTTGCTAATCCTCGATGCCCGATCCTCCTTCTTTATCCGGGCTTGGAACTGTGTTATGCTCGTCACCAGTTGATATGCTTGAAACTATTATGAGTTCATCTTAGTCGGTAAATGAGAGTGAAGACAACTGATTCAGTGGCACGGTAGGCTACACTAATCCGAGAGTCCCAAGGCCCCACTAAGTATAGGAAGAACTCTTGATATGGCGTAGAAAGTGTATTCTACAAACACAGAAAGTTTGAGGTTGACAAGCACACAAATCGAGTTTATTTATACATGATAGAAACGTCCTTGAGAGAGCCACAGCCAGGAATATTCCAGGTGGGAAATGTAATCTCAAGGTCAACTGATCATCCTATGCGCTAAAATATAAAATTAAAAATTTAGGACCTTTGTCGAGTGAGTTCTGGGGATCTAACGTCCCCAACAGACTTGGAGTAACCCTAGAAAGGCTTCAGGTGGAGTTATTTAAAAAAGATTGAGTTCGCTAAATTGTCTTTCAACACTCTAATGGCAAGAATGAGAACTATCTGGGAAAAAAGCAATGCAATTTATGCAATACATTCCCACTGTAGTTTAGTCACATACACACACTTTTGAAAGCTTGACATGAAGGTATAATTGAATAGAACTTATAAATTTTCTACAATTTTCACAAAACCCCTATAACCTAACCACAAATTTTTAGCTCACTTAATGACTTCATCATGGAACTGAATATCTGATAAGATGTTTTGATTGGTTGAGAGTTTCAAACAGGTAGGCAGTTAAACAATCCGAAACAATGAGGACATTGGATGTTCATCGTGTTCCGTTGCAAATCAATTGAACCTAAAATTGTATCATTTAGTTCTGACCCAATAGTAGTCTCAGTGGTTAAGCGTTTACCATAAGATCGTGTTTCAACCCGTAGTATGTTGGTTGATGAACAATGGTGAATAGCTCTTTACTAAGATGAAACAAATATCCAGTACTTTCTGGTTTTCAGTTGTCCCCCCCCCTAATAACTTACAAACCGAACTAATATCTATCAAACCCTTCAACTAAATCAAAGGAAGTTGTGTAACACAATATTTTGCTCAAACTTAAAAATCCATCCTTGATAATAGTGATAGAAGTTTTAAGAGCTTTTGTAAAGTTTAGATGCTATAGCTTGTTTTAAATTGTGTTTTGTTTTCGAAAATTATGATTTTTTTCCCGACGACCTAATTTTATCATGTTACTTGGCGTTAATTAATGTTATTTACTTACTTACTTACCTACTTACACCTGTTACTACTGTGGTGCGAGCTACTTATAAGTAGTATATGACGTGAGTGTGAACGTAATGTCTGGCAGCAGAAGATGGGGGAAGATCAAGAAAGGAAGAGTTAGAACACAATGGAATTTGTATGAAACGCATGAACAGTGAAATGTCAGACAATGGATTGATGTTTTGCAACAGGAACAGTCCAGTTCGATGGATTGATATTTTGCAAATGAACGATTTACGATATGGTTTTCCGATTTTACTGAGTAACTCTGTAATTTTCGTTAAATACAATTCGGTTGCCCCACCTGTGTTCTCGTTCACTACACCCGTAGTGGAGCATAGGCCTCTAACCAGCATTCTCCGACATACTCTGTGTGTGCCCTATCCACTACCCTCGTTTCTACCTGATTTATTTGTCTTCTGTAATCTGACTTGTTCTCTCTCGTGGTAGGTTATTGCTGAAGGTGTCTAGCCAACAGATCTGCAGTATCCTGCGTATACAACTTTTAATAAACACATATAACTTGTGGATGATGGCTTTCGTAATTCTCCAAGTTTCCTCTCCATAGAGCGAAACTATCTCGACATTTGTATTTAAAATTGTGACTAGTGTTGGTTGATAGTTGTTTCGAGTTTCAGATGTTATTCAATTTTACAATCGCTGCCGTTGCTTTGCCGATCCGCACCTTCACATCTACATCGGCTCATCAATGATACTGAAATATTAAATCCACATAAACATATTGCAGTGAAGGAGAACACAGGTGAGGGCAACCGAATTGTATTTGACTCAAATTACAGAGTTTATTGGTAAAATAGCAAAACCATATCGTAAATCGTTAATTTGCAAAATATCAGTTCATCATATCGAACTGGACTGTTCCTGTTGCAAACATCAATCGATTGTCTGACATTGACTTATTCATGCGTTTCATAAAAATCCCATTGTGTTCCCACTCTTCCTTTCTTGATCTTCCCCCATCTTCTTGCTGCTAAACACTACGTTTTTACTCGCTTCTCATACTACTTATAAGTAGCGCGCACCGCAATATATCTAGTATAATTCCTACTAATTTATTTCTTTAAATTAAATAAATTGTTTGTTATGATAATAGTGATCGAGAAAAATAATATAAGTAAAATTTTTAAAATAATATTTAGCAATTAGGTAATAATAATGGTTTTGTAAGTGTACAAATATGTGATTCGAACGTTCACTGGAATATTTTGATGATTTATGGGTTGGACTTCATATGTGAAAGATTGTAAAGTTGTGCATTTTTAAGTAGATATGCAACTCTTCTTAGGTTGATCTTTGAGTATACGTTGATAATAATCCGTGACTCCCACTACTCGTATAATTTGGACCCAGGACCTTAAGTTTTGCGCGTGAACGCCTAACTTCTGGATCACTGAGTTGGCCGGTATCCAACGGTGTTAATTAATGTTTAACTCTGATCAATATAAGATTTTTCACAACCTCACCTATTGTCTTCGGTAGTTATGGTGCCTACACCCGACAGGGATGAACTCCACTGGTCACATCTTACTAAAACTCCGAGAATTTCCTCACAAAATTAGTCACTAGCGAGCAAATTGTACGATTTTACATTATAGTGTTAAGAAGATTGTTGTTTATTATTGAAATTATAAATCAATCATTGTTAGACCACGATTAGAAACTGGGAAGCATCGAATAGTCGTTTCATCCTAACATGGTCCTCATTAGCAGTGAGCATTCATATATTAGGACGAAACAGCCGCCCAGCGCTGTCTAACAATAATTGATTCATAATTTGAAGAATTTAACCATGTATAAAATGGAATCTATTCTGTTGTCTTTTTTTTATTCTTTACATTATTGTTTGAATGAAACATTTTCCAAGTTTTCTAGTTATGAGTTGTAGTGCCTCCACATATATTCCAGTTTGCTTACATCTAACTTGGTTAAGCCCTTCCGATTAATTTATTTAACCAAGCCATTTGCGTACCAACAACTTATATGTAACATTCGTTCTTATTGTTGTCTGGTTTGTATGAGCTCACATGATGTGTCTCACTTGTCATTTGACCTTGTCAACCATTCGTCATTTTTACTCATGTGTGTGTATGTCTATCTCGTTGATCACATGTCTGTCTTATTTTTGTCTGACTATATTCTTGCTCATGCTCTGTCTCTAGGAGTTGGCTCATTAGCCTTCTCTACATCGCTTCATACGGTTCGCTTCAGTCGCTCATTCGCTCGCCAATATACACAAAAATGGTGAGCCCGACGTGATATGGGTCACCACAAATTTGGTGAGCCCTTCGTTCATTCATATCACTCCCCGATTTGCTCGCTCGATTCATTCGTCCATACGTCTTCACAGAAGATCAGTAAACACTTACTACAAAGTAATAAAATATCCTTTTCATACGATTTAAATCAATCTATCTACACTACAATATGTTTGAATTCTGTTTTTTTCTCTATACATAGTCCCTTCTAAATTGGCTCGTTTAGATCCTCAATTATTGTATATGTTAGCAGCACAACGTATCTATGATCTTTTGGGTGTAAACAATGAAAATGTAACTGGAAATTTAGATTTAATTTTGAATTCAATTTTTGCCAATGAAAATAATATTGGAGAGAATGCTAGCAGTTATTATAAAAGAGAAAAAAAGACATCAAAAGTTCCGAGTACACCTGAAAGTTGTACTCGTGCACGAGCTGTACTAACACCTTGTGATGGAACGAATGGTAATGAAACTCGAATGCATTATAGACAGTTGACTGTTGGTACATGTAAGTTTTATTTTTATTTTCAATTTTATACTTTAACTACTTGTAAGTAGCAAGGTTTTTTTTATTGTAAAGTGTTGTCCTGGATTTAATTGCACGAAGTTTGTAATCCATACTCTTTTGTGTATATGAACCAGTATTTTGAAAGTCAACCTTTTTCTTGATCTACTAGACTAAAACTATTGATCAGTCCATATCTTTTGAGGTGTATATCTGTTTGCGGATTGGCAAAGCAAGGGCTTCATTTCTACAGTTGAAAAATATCTGAAACTCCAAACAAATATCAATCAACACCAAAATCAGGATTTTCAATACAAATGTCAAGACAGTTCTACTGTATGGAGCGGAAACTTGGAGAACTACGAAAGGCATCATCCAGAAGATACAAGTGTTTATGAACAGTTGTCTACGCAAAATACTTCGGATTCGTTGGCCAGACACCATCAGCAACAACGTACTGTGGTAGAGAACAAACCAGATTCCAGTGGAGGAGGAAATCAGGAAGATGCGGTGGAAGTGGATGGGACACACACTACGAAAAGCACCTAACTGCGTCACAAGACAAGCCCTGACATGGAACCCTCAAGATTAAAGGAAAAGAGGGAGGCCAAGGAAAACATTACGCCGAGAAATAGAGAAAGATATGAGAGGAATGAACAAACATTGGACAGAATTGGAAAGGGAAGCCCAGGACAGAGTTGGTTGGAGAAAACTGGTGGGCGGCCTATGCTCCATTGGGGGTAACAGGCGTAAGTAAGTAAGTATTTACTTTCTTTCCCTTTTTTTCTGATTCTCTTTTTAATAATCAGATTCTTCCCCCTCCTATTTATTTATTTTCTTCTTTTTCTCTGTAGCACCTGATTGTCATTTATGTTTAACAAATTATAATTTATCTTCAATAAATAATCAACATTGTTCATTTATATCATCACATCATGCTACTATATTCTATGATGATTGGACACAACATTATGAATTAATTAATTATAGTGAATATGGTACACGTGTTGATGGTATCACGTATGGTAATGATATTGAGAAAAAATCAATATATATTCCAAAAGTAAGTGGATTTTTTTTTGTATCTTTGATTGATTGACTATTATTTTATCGGATTTGAATGAGCAGGCATACAAAGCAAAGCGAAGGGAAGTGAAGTGAAGTGGAGAAGGTGCGAGTGAGTCGATTCAATGCAATGACTCGATGATTAAGTATTAATAATCAAACAGAAATAAGAGATAGACATGGTAGGTATGCTAAGTAAGTGTGCGCACACACACACAAGCGAATAAGTGACAAGGCCAAAAGACATTTGATCACTTCACTTATCTGGGGAGTCTCATCAACGCTGATGGCCTAGTGGCTGACGAAATCTCAGCGCGGATAAAGAAAGCTCGATTTGCTTTTGCCAATTTACGCCATTTATGGCGTAGGCGTGATATCCGTTCGATAACCAAAGGATGGGTGTACTGTGTAGTAGTTCGCTCCGTCTTACTTTATCGATGCGAAATATGGCCATTAAGAGCAGATGTTCGTAGGTTACCAGTATTCGATCATAGATGTCTTAGAAGCATTGCTGGTATATCGTGGGACAAGCGCGTAAGCAATTCTGTCGTTAGGAAACGAGTACTAGGTAATAATGGTAGATCAATAGATGAAGTAGTGAAACTTCATCAGTTTAGGTGGTTGGGACATGTGTTACGTATGCCTAACCACCGACTGCCTTTATGAGTGATGTTTTGTGGTGTAGGAGTAGATTGGAAGCTAGCGGCTGCCAAAACAAAAACATGGCGCGAATCCACGAAGTCACTGACAAGTGGACTGAGTCATGTTGGTAGATGTAGGCTACCTGGTTGGGGTCCAATGGTTACCAATGGTCACCAATGGTTAGAGACCTTGAACGACATGGCTCAAAATCGCTTGCAATGGTGCAAGTGCAATCATTCGTTGTGCTCTCTCAAATCCTACTCTTCTGGATCCTTCAGCACCTCTATGTTTGTTTTTCTAACCTTATCTGACTGGATTATACTTCTTGAATAATATCTTCAAACCCTAGTCTTCTTGGTTACCATTAATACCTCTACTATCTTTATCACTTTGAGATTTGATTTGACATTCGCATCTCTGTGCTAATGTGTTATGGCAACATGAACTTATGTACATGCGTATGACGTTCTACGTTGCAACTGACTGACTGACAAAAAGACATGGGAATAGTAACTCGGCTGCAAAAGATTAACTAGCTTGTCTGTAAACTTACACAAGCCATGTACGCTCAACATATAAGTGTACATACATTACAGATTGTTAGCATTTTTTCAATTGTTAATGTAAAACATCATTTCATTTCTAATATGAATGATTGGTTCATGTGATAATAAGAGATAAATGGTTGGTCAATGACTTTTTTCACAGTCGTACAATGAATTGAAATGTTAACACCTACTGATTCATCGCATGCTACTTTTAATTCTAAGGTTTGTTTTGTTCGAAGAATAAAAAATAGAAAACATATTTAACTACACACTCTTACTAGCTCAAAGTTTCAGTAGTTAGTCAGTTGAAATTCATTGAAATCATGAATCGATCAGTGTTAGATCACTAT